ACACACAAGGCTTTGTCAGAGTGGCTGTTTACATTTCTTTTCAGGCAGTTCCTGAAAACTCAAACAAATCCCAGATTGCAAACCTGCTAAGCTCCCTATGAAGCCCTGTACTTGCCTTGAGGAAAACAGGGGTGTTTGTTGTGATCCTGAGGATAAACATCAGGATATCTCCAACGAAGTTGTGCAATGACATTTCTGGGAAGTTTGTGATGCTCTTGCATAAAAAGTCCTTCTGAAGTGGGCCAGAGTACCCCACAGAAACAGACCACTAATTGTACTTGGAGGAGACAAGGTCCAGGGTGGGCACAAAGGCAAAACAGCAGTTGCTTTCTATGGGAAATTCAGCAGAGTTGCCTCCCCTGGTTCTATTTCCCACAAAATGAATTATTATTCAGAATTTCAACTCAACTTTGGCATGCTGCTTTTATTCACTCTGGAAAGTTACCTTTTTTCTCCTTTCATTCCTCACAGTAAAATGGAAAAACCAGAAAGGATAAAAATAACACTCAAAATAAACATTTTTTTCTTTTTTAGAAGCTAACAATCCAAACCATTTCATATAAAACAAAGCACTACTAGAGGAAATTAGGCCTTTTCTCATCAAGCGTCTTGACAGAAAATATTTGATGCAAACCATCGCTGGCTTTAGAAGAATTTTACTGTCTCACAAAAAGCGTTAACCCTGATATCCCGCCAGATAGCAGCTCACAATTATGTCTAGCTCCTTTGAATTTCCCCTGGAGTGTCAAATGGATACTCTGCTTTTCTTTGCTGCCTTTCCTTAGGTATTCCTAGAGCGGTGTTCTATTAAAGAGCTCTTCGTCATCTCCTAGAACTAAATTCACACTACTGTAACAGGCTTAATCTTGCATACAGTTGATATTTTGTTGACTGCTTTTGGAGTTTTCATGACAAAAATGACTTGTCATTTCTATCAAGCTGTCCTTGGGGTAATAGTCTTTTGAGCTAAACAGACCAAGAAATCACCTGCATTCCTTCAGAATCCAATGACACAAACAGAAGGTGAAATCCATACGGCAAAATCACACACAAACTCCCTTTTCACAGCTACAGACTCTTCTTTTTGTACCCCATTCCTGAGCCAAGGCCTTTTGCTAAGTGCTGTAAAATCATGGGACAAAACCCTTGTCCCACCAAGCTTCTAAGTACACCATGAAACAAACAGGCAAAGGCAACAGAGAAGGAGCCACGAGAAAATTAGGAAATAGCAAGTGTGTTATATGCTGTTAGCTATCACTGAAAAATTTGGGAAATACTTCGAAATTCAGCAGAAATATAAGATCCGTCAGCTTACCTACAGGTTGCTTAAAACAGTCTCCCTTGCTTTTTACTTGTCCCAGGCAGAAGTATTCCATTAAAATGGAAAACTTCCCAGTATCCTCTTTGGGAGCAGGAGTGCTCTCTTTTTTAAAAAAAAAAAAGGTAACACTGCAGTGTTTCTTGGCTTTGCTGGAGCGTGGCATTGCAAGGGTTTAAGGAGAAGTATCTCAAGGAGATGTGATAGGGCACAGTGCAGGTTTCCTGTGCTCTTAAAGCAGGAGAGAAGGCCAGAGTCAGTATTCCAGGGCACAGCCCCAGGCTGACCTACTGCTGCTGAACGCTGCGGAGCTGACTCCATATCATCACGGATTTTCAAGCCAGATGACTGGTGAATACCTGGACAAACTCATGCTGTCAGACAGAATTGCTCATGCCAACAGGCACTGGAAGGATCAGCACCATAACCTTTTTCCAAGTGCAGTGAGACAATGAGAGTCTTGGTGTTCAATGCAGCAACTGTACACCCCTGGGACAGCACTGTAAGAGAGTCGCTGACCTCAGAGCTTAGAGGGCAGAGCTCAGCTACATCGGTAGGAAAGGTACTTTTCAACATCAGTAGAAAAGGTACTTCTGTTATTATAGCTGCACCAACTCTAGCAACACCACCCCTGCATAACACACTGATAACACACTGAACATGTCTTTGTCAGACAACCGTAAGTCAGATGCAACGTGCTTTGTGGTGAGCAACTCTTAACACTAATGTAAAGGTTCACTGCCAATAGCAGGACACAGGAAAGCTGGGTGACTGATTTGTCAGGACACATCCATGGCTTTGAATTGTGAAGCCATTGGTTTCTGAAGGGCAGCGCACATACTCGCCAACAACAAAGAGCATGGAATAGCAGCACCAGAGCCAGGCATGCAAGCTTTACCCATGTGAACATATTTGATTAGAAGAAAATTAGCTTTTTACTGTAATGGAAGGGCCATTAAAAATATTAAAAATTGTCTTGGAGGGCATGAAAGAAGGCAAAGGAGACTTCCAGCATCTGAAAACTTAAGCCAATTCAGTAAAACATTTAAATGAAATCATTTGCTTATTTTTTACTGGCTGAGAAATGCAGCATTCTATTGTGAAGTTTTTACACTCAGAAGTGAAGAAACACAGATATTTCCCTTGGAAATTTCAGTTTTGATTTTTAAGACTGCTCTGTGTTACACGAGGAGTTCTGAAACAATTTTGACCAGCTGTGGACTGAGATGAGAATCAATGTCACAATCACTTTCATATATGCACTCACACATTAGCATGCATCACCTTCCACTCCTCATTCCTTCCTGCTTCACTTACCCAGTCTTTACTGGGGAAGCATGGTCATGCTCTTGCACACACTTAGGAAAGGCTTTCATCTTGCCTTGTTTTAAAAGTCTCCTTAAAACTAATTGGTTCCTGTCTCCTCACACAGCTGCTCACTTGTCCCAGAGAGGCAAACCGTGTAAAAGACAAGGACTGTATATATTAGACACACTATTAGGATGTTAAATACTGAAAATAATGAAGACCCAAACCAAGCAAACTTCCTTTTGAGTTTGTTTGGCCTCTCTAAACCCTTTTTTCCACACTAGACTTTCACTTTATCAGCAAGAAAAGAAGCAAGCCATCATTGGCTTTTTTTTACTGCAGAAAATGAATTAGACTTTCTGTATCTAGCAAATGAGACTCCTCAGGGGAACCACAATACTTCCTTACTTTTCCCTGGAAAATGCTTCTAATAATGGTGAATGAAGCTGAACACAGAGCAGAAAGACCAAGTTACCCGTTGACAAGATGGACAAGACAAGGGGCAGATCAATGACTGATGTAGTACCAGGAAACAAAACGTTCCAGGATTTTCTGTGACTTTGGGAAGCCACTTACCCTCCCCTCACCAGTACTTGGACACCCACAGAGATGCTGAGAAACACGACTCATGGGTGAGGGTATAAGCTGTTGAGGGCACGGACTGCCTTTTGTTCTGTGTGTATGTGTTACTAGCATAGTGGAGATGCTGAGATGCCAAACACATAACAATTATCTATAAAACACAGTGGGCTTTATCAAAGCTGCACTAGTTATGGAGAGTTAAGCTGTCATTACATGACAGCCAAAAGCACCTTTTTTTGGGCCAATAGCTTATTCCTTTTGCTCCAAGCTTTCAACATAAAGGAATATTTAGCTGAGTAGGGTTGGTGGATCAAAGACAGCAGTTCCCATCTTTCCCCATCAGTGAGGTAAGCAACCTTTCTGCCTAATTTCCACAGAGCCCTTTCCCTGGGGCTGACCTAGCCCAGACAACTCTGGTAAGAGCTTAGCTGTTCTTCCTACCCTTGCTGTCTCATCTCCTGGAGTCTTCTTCAGATACCATCTCCACCATATTGAGACAAAAATGGCCAAAGCACATGTGCAGTGAGGACCAGCTAGTGCCTGTGCTCCCCTGCAGATTCTGCAGCATGTCCAAGCCCCCTATCACATTCCTACAGATAAAACTTTGCTAACAGCAATCCCTAGAGCAAAAACCTTTTCTACGATTTATTCAGCAGCTCTACACATGCTGCTTGTCTTTCAGATACCTAGAAATCTGGCTAGTCCATGTTCCACACCTGCGAGAATTAAATAACAGAGCTGATGCCTGCAGCATTTCTTTATAGCTGTCAAAAAACTCAATTCTACCTGTGCCCAGCTACATCAGCCACCACCCTGTGGGGCACAACTCTTGCCTGGGAATCAAAAACCAAGCCACTTTTTCACACCTGTACCCAGGCTCCTGGGGCACAGGAAGACCCAGGAATACAGCCTTTGCCCAGCCACAACAGATTTCAAAGCTGTCTGCCTGTCAGCACGATCTGGTGAGCAGAACGGAGACAGAAGCTCACTCATCACATTAAGGTGCCTCTGGAGATGCAGAGACCCAGGCAGCTTCTGAATTCATCTGGTAGGCAAGCCCCCCTCAAAGATCTCAGGGCTGCAAAGTCTTTCCTCCATAGGCTATGGCTTTAACAAACACTTTTCCTTCAGCCCTTCTGCCTTTGCTGTCCTTTAATATCTCCTTCCCTGTTCTCTGCTCCTCTGCTATTCAAGAGTCAACCTCTACCTCTTTTCTTTCCCTTCTTTCAGCAGCCCTCTCTCTCCCTATTTCTTGCCTTCCCCTTTTATCTCCCTCTCCCATCCTTTTCCCCCTCAACTCCCCCCTCTTGCACTTCAACACATCTGTTTCTCATCTTAGGCATCAACTGGAAACAATAACCCCTTTTTATTTTAAAATCTGAATGTTAAATGCCCAACAAATCAAAACAGAGTTAAACAAATTTGACACTATGCCCGAAACAAAGACATTTTGTTCACCTTGTTTTGCCAGAGAGGTTTAAGCCCCTCACTAGTTCATTGCTGAAAAGCGCTGCCCTCTTTAAATGAGAAACATATATTCCAAAAGGAGTCTGTTTAACCACCACTTCTAAAAAATGAATCCAGATATTTAAAGAACTCTGGCCATCAACCTGCTAATAATGCAACAAGAAAAGCATCGGAACCCAAACAACACTGAAATTGGAGTTCTCCGTAAAAGTTTTTTCTTTACAAATCGCTTTCTCTAGCTCATCAGAAATGAATTTCAGTCATGCAGACAGAGCACATGGAAGCTCAATTAAAAACGCTAAACAAAACCAAAAAGACAACCTACCTAAAAAGAGAATGGAAAGTGCAGACATTCCGTCTCCAAGCAAGAGGGACTTTTTCTCCCTTTTTCTTCCTTTCTCCCAGGAACGGAAGGCAGACCTGCACAGGATTCAAAGGAACGCCTCTGGAATGCACTGAGTGTAATTGCATCCATGTGCCAGAAAAATAACCAACTTCACTCTTTCTTTCCTTCTGCTATTCATCTCCTTGTCCATATTCCATCCAGTTTTAGTGAGAGCTTTTAGATCTCTGTGACCGGTAATTCAGGCCCTTGAGTTTCTGGAAGAGACAGAGGCAGTGCAGCAAGGAGTTTACATCTACGGCAGCACAGAACAATTTTGCTTGTCTGAAAAGGAGAGGAGCAGGGGAAAACACTGTGCTCAATGTTCACCACATGGCTGCCTCCCAGAAGAGCCCCTCCCTACCATCAGCTGGGATTAATAGTGAAGACCAGTCATGTGGGTGAGGTAGAGCTGATTTCTAGCAATAATATATATATCTACCTTTGAAGGAGAAACAGGATGATTTCTTTTGTGTCAAAACAGTTAAGTTTGGAGGCAATAAAAAAACAGCATGGAAAAAAAACATCAGACTGATCACTCAAGGGCTAGGAAGAGTCTCAGAAAAAAGCACACACGTGCTCTTCAGAATGATAAACACATTCACATGTATACATTATCTTTATTCTCTTTTTGCAGCTATCAAATTTCAGAATTAAAGCTTTTAGTCTTACTGGAATACTTTCTCCATTTGTTTCAGGGTTTCCTTTTTGAGTTTCTAGGAGAAAAAAAAAGGCCTAAAATTTTATTTAATTTTGCATATTATCTATGCTTCACTGATGAGAAAAAGCCAAATCAAGCAGAGATTGTCTACATTTAGGGACTGCTGTGGGATGCAACTTACACCTCACACCCAAGGACCATTTCAAGGCAGCCAGAGAGACCTTTACAGCCCATCTTCACCCTAGTGTACTTAACAAGCGAGTGAGTGTTAAAAACTAGCTCAGATATTCCTCTTATGCCATCACAGCAGTGAAGACAAACCTCTCAGTCTCTGTAAGAAAAGTGAAATATGGTAGGGAGTTCACAGAAGATGACTTTTACCACCTACTGAGCTGAACTGGCCAGAACACAACTTTTTTATTCTTTAGTAAAACATGTCTAAATCTTGCTCCTCACAGCAAGGCCATGGAAACAAGGATGTTTTACATGTGTGCATACACACAACTGTTCTGATGCACTTTACGCAGGTACAGCCCAGGCCTTGGCCTTACACCTTAATATCCATATGCCCTAGAATAGATACATCTACTTTTCAGAAAAGTAAAGCACTTCCATCTAACCTACTTGGCTATTAACAGAAGAGTAACACTGGTTATCTGAAACTCTAAAGTGGCCATTCAAGAAGCTGAGTAAGCATTTGGGTGGCTAGCCTGTGCTAAGGTGGGCGTTACCACAGCTGTACAGATAGGAGGACCCCAGCTAGTTAGTTTAAATTTCCTAAGGTGTATCTATATACACAACTGCATATTTTTCTTAAAAATAGCCATACTTACAAAGAAACGTCCATCATATACAGATGACTGCAAATCAGATTTACCCACCTTGTGCAACTTGGGGCTGAAAGAAAGCTTTGGAAGACAGAATAAAAATCCTTTCCCTTACAAACACTTATGAAAGTATTTTTAAGAATTAAGAGGGATAGCAGGCCATAGACAAGGCTGCCAGCCTGTGGTCTGAGACCTCAGACCTTACTTTCAAGCTCTCTCATTAGCTCCCTTTGTAATTCCATCTATACACAGTTTCTATACACTTCCCTTGTAAAATCAGGGATAATATACTGTTCTCCCTCTTCAGGGATGAAAACAAATACAGCAATCTTTATCAAGTCCACAACGAGGAACACTCTGCTTAGAAACTATAGGAATTCAGTGCCTTAGCTCTTCATTACAGTACTAGCTTTTCAAGCATTTACTGGAAGACAAGAAACACTACTATCCTAGACAAAATTAGATCCTAGATTCAGGTATATCCCATCAGAGAGAAATAGCATGGATAAAAATTATACTTCTGGATCCTGCTTCATTAAAGTTTAATTAGCCCCTCCCAGCCTCAGATGGAAACAAAAGCAGCATTTAGCTCCTCCTCTCCAAAGCAGCTGTTCCCTCTAACAGTGAGAAAATTATTTAAACAGATTATTCAACAAATATGGACTGATGATACAAAACTAATCACTATCACATGAATATAACAGTTCCTACCTACCATCTGTGTCTATCCCATCTACCCATATCATCAGAGCTAATTCTTTCATAACTTTTCCTCACACACTTGACCAAGCAGGCTGCTGGTTTTCAAGCAGTTGAATGGGCCTAAGAGAACATCATTGATTTCCAGTGCAGGACACAAACCAATGAAGGAAAGTGCATTTAATCCCTCCCCCAGCTCTCCAGAAGCCAAGCAGCACTGAGCTTGTCTCTCTGCATTACGATGCTGACAGAAAATGTCCCAAGCTCTGCTGCAAATACCCAGCATGCTGCTTTGCTTTAATAGAATCAGTGCATCAGACACCAAGACAGGGAGGAGCCTTGTTACCCTGCTCTCACTGCCCAGCCTCCACCAAACCCCGCAGAGCTGGGACGTTCGAGGGATGCACAGGATGAAAGAGGCCATGCATACAAAATCTCCTCTTCATCGTCTTGGACGAACCCTTCCACAGCCTGTTCTCACATTACACTCAGCCCCTTCAGGAAGCTCCTCAAGAGCAAGTTATGCTTTGGGGTTCCATGGGGATTCTCCCTCTGGTGTTCATACCTATAATGGCAAGGGCATCTCCCTTGTTCCCCTAACAGTTCCAGGGAGAGCCTAGTGAGGGCTGGTGTAAGTACATATAAGGACACACATGCCACTCACACCAGCACATCTGCAAGAACTTTGCTGATTGTATCTGAGGGAATAGGTCCCATCTGCAGCACATCATTGTTCCAGAAGGGGCAAATTCTTCTACTAGGCTTGTGAATGCTTTCACCCAGTACTATACAATGCTGGCACAGAGTGGGGGATAAGTAGCATGCACTTCTCAGCAGGGAGAATAATGAAAGGGAAAAAGTTATGTTTAATATCATAAGCATTAAGGAAAAAGGTTTCATTAAAAAAATGTTATAAACTGAGTTTGGTTTTTAGGGTTCCTGTTTTGCTGTTGACAGGCCCTGACTTTGAAGCCTAGGCTATGTTTGGATTAAAATACCCATATACAAATATCTGTAGAAACCCTCATGGGCCACAGATCAGCTTTTTTGATGCCTTCCTTGGTGCTGTTTCAGTTTCAGCCCCTTTCAGTATAATATGTTCTATTAAATCCACCCATCCCAAGAGCCTGCCCAGCACTGGTTGGCTTGTTCCAGCACCTCAACTAGTAGAAACATGTGGGGGGAAACTTTCTCTAAGCCCTACTTTTTTTTTTTTTTGATCATGTTATTCCTTTCACCTTACTCTTCTTCCTCCAGGGAAACAGCTCCTTGAGGTGTAGCTGCCCCCATTGCTGCAGAGCATCACACTATCTTCTCAACACGAAATAGTGCTGCATAGCCCCAGCAACAGCAGCTCTAACATCCTTGTCACCCAAAATACATCCAGAAGCCCTATTTTTCTTCCAGAACTGTTATTACACAGCAATAATACAGACCACTGCTACTCAAATACCCTCCTGCATTCATTCTTTATTGTCTGTTCTCTGAGACTGCCCATACAAACTTCTCTCATACAGTTTAAATTACTGTAGCAACTTGCTGATACAGCCAGTAAAAGAACAGGGTTCATCCACCAGCAGAACCAGATGAGCACTTTGAATCTCATGAGCAAACCCACGTTCTGTCCAGCTTTAGACTTCACAACTGAAACAAGCACAAAAAAGTACTGGGACAAAAGAAAGCCAAACCACGCACACACACCAGCCTGAACAAAAAAAACCTCAGACAACAAGGTCTATTAGGGTAGAAAATAAAGCCATTCACACATTTATTTTCACAATAAGCCACTAGTGGAAGGCCTGCTTTCTACTACATCTGGACTTACAAACAAGTTGTTGTTTAAAAAGTTTTCATCTCTCAAGTGGGCTTCAATAATTGATCATAAAAGTGCTGTTAGTCATTTAGTATTATCAAAAAGTCTCACTTCAACAAGCTTTAGCACTCACAGTGTCAGTAAATGGATTTAAAAAAAAAAAAACAAAACAAAAATCAAACAACAAAAACCACCAACCAACCAAAAAACAACCAGGCAAAAACCTCCTTAAAGCTATATCTAGTTTGAAGTGCCTCAGCCTGCACAGTTTGTTACTCTAACATTTATTTCTAAGTTGGTTTTATGGAAAAACACCCTTATTATTTCTTTTTTGGATAGTTTTATTTTTAATGCAAGTCTGTAACTGTAAACTGCATCTACACTTCCTAGAATAAAAAGTAGAATTCCTCATACACAAAAACAGCATTTTTAATCTATATTAACTTTATGTTGTTGTTATAATAAGAAGTGAGCATAAAGTAAACTACTTACATTGTACTATAAATCCTATAGTAAAAAACAAACCAAGTTAAAGCCTTCAACGTTTCACCTCAATTAACAACAAAAGATTTAATAAAAAATTTAAATACTTTTTCCCCACAAGACTTCCATGAGGCAAAGTCTTAAAACCAACAACGTTCAAGAATGCTGGTTTTTATTCTGTTTCCTCTGAAAAACCTGCCAATGAAACACCTTGCCTTAATTTCCCAGCTGTGAGATTGGAAAATTGGCAAGTAAACCTTGTCTGTGAATCACAGGTGTGAAGCATATGAGATAACACAGATGGAGAGACCACAGGTGTGGAGCATATGGTCAGAACACAGGTGTAGAGCATGTGAGATTAAACAGGGAGGGTCAGAACACCAGTTAAAAGGGAGGAGAGAAGAGTAAGTGTTTTTAGGTGAGGGAATTATTGAAAAAAATTTAGTAGTTTGTTGGTTTGTGGTGTTTTTTGTTGTTTTTTTTTTTTTTTTAATTTATATTTTAATGTGTATGTACTTGACACTGATAGAGATTGTTGGAAGGAGAGTGGAAGGAGCTAATTAGAAGTAAATATCTAAAAGCAATGGCTAGGAAAAAAACAAGAAAAAGTAATGGTTAAAAAAAAGAGATGTTGTTTGCTTTTCCTACTGTGAGGTAAGTAACAATTGTGGACTTTTAAAATATTTTTGTGTAACTTTATTTTAAAGTAAGTACAATTTTTAGGTGTTAAGGAATGGTTTGAATATGTGACGCTAACTTTGTTGTAAACAAAATGTAGGAAAACATGAAAAGAAAGCATTTGGTGAAGAATTGAGTGAGATTACTTAGGTATTACTCTGCC